CAAATAGACTCGGTCGGAAAGCCCTGACCCCCCCTCCCTATCGCAGATGCTTGTTCCCTTGCGAGCCAGCCTGACAGGTCCTGTGGCTGCTGCAGCGCTGCGCTCAGCACGGCTGGGGCCATCTGCCTGCCCTTCGTGGGGTCGTGTCAAGCTCAGTCCTTGGAGGACAGGCTTTCTTCAGCTTTGAGATTCCCTCCGGGCTCAGGCATGCGGTGCGTGAAGCAAAAAGGGATCTTGCTCTTCAAATTCTTGAGCTGCTTTTAGAAAAAAATTATTCGCTCGCGTTTGACACTGCTTGTTCCCCTTGCAAATTTTTTTTCTTGCTGTGCTGTGAAGCATCCCAGGCGCACGCTAGCATGGGGTGTGCCCGCTGAGCCGCCGTGCCTACCGATTTATTCTTGGCATAGCCGCCCGCCGGGTGCCGCGGTACAGCCAGGTGAAGGGTGCCCCTGGGCACAGGCAGACACGGCCATCCGTAGCGACAGTTCCTCTCCAGAGAGGCCGGGGCAGGTGCAGCAAGAGGAAAGGAGATGGGAGGAAAAGGTTTAAGCAGCAGCTAGGTGTGAAAGCAAAATACAAAGCCTCTCAGCTTCCGCGTGGACTCTGCCCTTCATCCTGCTGTGTGGACACTGGGTATAAAGAACCTCTTCATCTTCAACTCTGTTTTATTCACATGTAAACATCTGATCTTCCTGAAAAATTGTTGCCCAACGTCCAGACCAATTCTGAGGGGCTTTTTGACAACAATAGCAACGCTCCCAGAGAGTTCGGAAGCTGAGATTACCACTACGGCACTTGAGCTTAATGTCTTGGTGATGACTGGGAGGTCATCTCAGGTGGCAAAGCGCAATCTTCCTGTTGGCCTGCTGGACTGAAGCTCAAATTTTCTGTGCCGCGGTGAAATTGCTGCCTTAGGACCATGTTAATTATGTCCAGGGCAGCCGCAAGCTGGGCCTTAGAGAACAGCAGACCCTTCTTCTTGGCTGTTGTGAAGCACTTCAGTGTTCAGGCATGTTTTCTGTTTGAGTGGTTTCCGTGATAAAAAACTCAAGCAAGCTCCTGAACCCCACAACTCTCCAAAACATCTGCTGGAATCCTTTTCAAAGTTTCCAGTGGCAATTCAAGGACAATTCCCTTCCTTCCATGACTTAGGGGCGTTACAGTAGATGGAGTGCAAATCCACTTACAAGGAAGATCCCTTTTTATCAAAGCATCCTATATTCTTTCCCATCCCCTGGTGCAAGGACCCCCCGGGGCAGTAGCAAGCTGGGCTGGAAGGAGGTTCCCCCGGCAGCCCACCCTCCCTGGCGTGAATGGCTTCCTCGGCGTAGGCGTGCTGAGAAGAGACTAGAGAGAATCACTGCAATTGCGGCTGAATCATTTTTATTATTGCAGTTTGTAGGGGTGGGGTTTTTTCTGAAAAAAGCAAAATTTCTACTCAGTCCTTTCAAATGTGGTTCAGTAAAAGAAAATAAGGGTGAGAATCGCTGTGTTCAGTGCCTTCCATAGCCGTTTAGATGGCTAAATAGAGAATAAACTGTCGCTAACTGTGATCTGTCAACGAACCGGACCCGCTGGGTGGGAGGAAACGGACTCAACCCACTTCTCCCTGCCCTCGGAAAGGTTCCCCTCCGGCAGCCCCAGCCCAGCTTCCCCGTCGGTTCACCACGCAGGAAGCCGTGCTCAAGAAGGGAAGAAACAGCAGCACTAACGTGACTGGCATGTTTTCCATACACATGCCATTCTTGCACGTAATTGGCTTTTTGTCTCTAATCCCAGCAGCGGGATTGACAGAGGGGAGAACTTTGCAAAATTTAAAATAAATTTTTAAAAAAAGAATAAAAAGAGGGCAGAATTACAGCCCATGCAGGAGAAGGGGGGAGAGAGATTTCCATCCTTTCAATTTGTGCAATGGCTAGAGTCAGAGGCTCGTAAGGTAGGTATGAGTTTATAGATATTTTTGTGAAGGATTTAATAATACGCAGAACCCTCTGCTCTGGCTCTGGTGCGTGCCTGGGTCTCGTGGCCATGACCCAGTAATTTACAGCGCTCGGCAGCACGGAGGCTGAGCCCGGGGTTGACGTTTTCACAGCTTGGTAATCAGACCCGGTTGGAGCCTGGCATTTCTGTCTTGTGAAGGATTCTACAATTTGAGTATAATTGTGTTTTGAATGAAAACAATGTAAAAATTGCCTGTGGAAAAAAGCATCGGGCTTCTTGAAGGGGGGGCAGTTGGTAAAACAAAATGTTTTATTTTGTCTTGGAGAGATTTTTAAGGAAAAATTATTCACATTTTGTATTATATAAAAATATTCCCAAGTGAAAAATATAGGTTTTCTACTCTGAAAACTCATGGGGTTTTTTATTCCTTAGTTCCCCTTCCCTGGGCCCCAACAGCAATGATGCTTTCTAAAGGGGAGCATATTCTGAAAGAAAATTTCCAATCAAATTTAGAAACAGTAAATCTTTGTAAGAGTGGAGGAGAAGAGTCTGGGGTAAGACACGAACAGTGGGAGAGCTGGACATCTTCTAGGGCAAGATCACAGCCCTGGGAGCAGAAAAGCCACCACTCCTACTGTCGCGCCATGGCTCAGTACCCAGGCAGCGCTCCGCTGTCCAAAGGGAAATGCTGCACCCAGAACCGCATTGAACTTGGCCCTTTGGGTTTGCAGACTAGAACTAGGAAATTGCCTCCTGGGTTTTGGCAGGATGAGAACTGCAGTTCTTCCGAGCTTGGAAGTAGGTTTTTTCCCTAACTTCCTAAGTCAGCTCCATCATTTCCTCCAAATCTTGTTCTAGTTAACAAAATAAAAAGGTTTGTGCGGGTCAGTCTGAAGAGCAGAAATGGTCCTGTATTTCTGCCCAGCTCCAACAAGTGTGTAATGCATCTCTTTTCTCTGGACAGCAGAGACCTAAAGATGGCAACGCTGTGGCCAGACATCAGATGTGATTCAGTTCCACAATCCTCCAGAGGCAGCAGTGAAATAAAGATGCCCTTGGTTACCTAACAAAACCCAGTCACCTCTTGTGGGTGATGGCTCAATGTCTCACCCCTGCCTCTAGCACTGTCTTGACCCTGTTAATCAGCCAATTTTTGTATTACTTGGTTGCTTAAGAAAGACTCGAGAGCATTTAATGGCCCCTATACAGCCAGGATCAGGTGTATTTTCACACTTACATTTTGACATCAGTCCAGACTCACAACACACATCCATCCCAATCGAGTGCAATTCAGACTTCCAGGTTTTTAGACTAGCTTTCTTATTATGAAAACAAGGCTAATTTGAATGCTGGATGTCACATCTGGAAAATATTTGCATATTTTTCTTGTTCTCTCAATCAAAGAGCTGAGTGGGAAGGGTTTTATCAGGGTGGCTGACATGCATTCTTTTTTAATCTCTTTTAGGGATTATGTTTTTTCCTCTGATGCATCCAAACAGATCCTTCAAGCGATAGAAAAGGTAAGAAAAAACCTGAAAAGAACAAAAATGCCGGAAGGGTGACATGGATACCCCAGGACAGCTGTAGCATGCAGCTCTGTGACAAGAACTTAGGTGAATGAGTGTCCTTTAAGAGTGGGCAAAGAGCTGTGCTAGAGTCTGGAGCAAGTAAAAGATTGTTGCAAGGGATCTTCGGTAATAATTCTACCAGTAATTCTAACAGGAAAGTGGGAGAAGGACTAATTAAAAACAGAAATGCTTTCTTTGCAGCACTGGCAACTATACATCAGCAACGTGAGCCTGAATAGTAAAGCTGACCAGACACAAGTGCCAGTAAGCAACCTCCTTTCCAAGGGAGGTCAAGCATTAAAAGAAAATAGACAACACCAACTGCACTCAACCAGTAACTCTGTTGGTTTTAATATTTTCATGGATTATTTGCAATGTAGGTAGGGGAATTAGGCTTCCTTTTTAAAAAAAAAGTAACAGTTGGATGTTACCACATTGGTGTACTTTAAGCCCTGTGAGACATTTTAACATCCTCCTTTCTTGTCTTTCAGCTTAAAGGCGTGAAAACTGAGCCACCTATTTAGCAAAGTGCTTGGCATCACCAAGATGAGGGTATTTGAGCTCTCTTACAGGCTCAGCTTTCATTTCAGTAGGCCTGATTCTGATCTTAGGGGAGCAACAAGGACTATCTGTTGCAGTCCGACTGGCAGAAACTGAGCCCGTGCATGCATGAGAGAACAGAATCAAACCTACCAAAACTACTTTTGGGTCTTGGTTTCCGGCTGCCGCCTGTACGCAACCCTGATTTTTCCATTTCCCCTCAGCTCAAAGAAAAGGAAAAAAAAGAAACAACAAAAAAAGAGAAAATTAAAAAGCCAGAAAACAACCCCCCCCAAACAACCCATATGGGCTGTCTGTTAGATTCAAGGCTTTGATCCTCTATTTGCACAGAAAGGAAGACATATAACTGCTAACTCCCATCGCACAGCGCCAAGGGGGTTCTGTAAAGCATCAACGGACAGACAGGATTAGTTTGAACACAGATTGCATACCTGTTGCCCTCCTTCCGGAGGGCTGTATATGTACCACAAGAATAACGGCTGCCGACCCCAGGAGTTCACAAAAGGGACCTGTGCCAGGACAGAACCCCGCTAGCTGCAGTCCAGCGAGCGCCTCTCACAACTCGCGTAAAACTTGAGGTCAGCCTGAACTTCCAAGCATCTTCAAGACAGTTCCTGGATAATGGGGACTTCCAAGCATTTGCTGGGACGGACACCTTTTTTTTTTTTTTTTTTGTCATTTATTTCCAAGAGGACAGTGAGGGAACAAGACGAGACTCTTGGTCAAGGAGCTGTAATGCAGGATACAGCTCAGACGTTAGAGCAGCAAAGCCAGGGCTTGTACAGCACAAGAGCATCTGTCCCCGTTGTTATGCACGTGCTGCTCCAGGCATGCAGGGGCATTTTCTAGGAAGCAGTGCTTTCTTCCATCCTCCAAGCATGACAGAAGTTGGGGGCCTGCGGTGCAAAGGGTGCTCTTGAAAAAAGGAGGTATAAACTGTAACTGAATTTATTGGAACACAGGGTTGTTTCATAAGGGGATGTGATGGAGGAAGGGAAGGGTTCAAGCTCTGAGAAGCAAATTTGGGTGAGAACAGGCACCTTTTCACTCTTTTGAACACTGTAAATAATAATAATTAAAAAAAAAAAAGACCAAGTGGCCGCCCTCCCCTGGCCCTCCCTCCCAATCCCAAGGCTTGCCTTCACATCATGCTCTTCCTGTACTGAGACTGTGAGCTCTGTTTGGGTTTTGAGTCCGACTGCTGCAGTTCAAACTGTTTGTACAGGTCCCTCAACTCTTTGATCTCCTGCAACACCCTCTTGGCTTGGCTCCAGGTGGAGGAAGCCTCCCCCAGCAACCTCTCCGATTCCTGCAGGATCCTTTCAGAGTCCGACTTGGAAGATGATGAGGAAGAAGAGGTGGTGGTGGTGGTGCTGGTGTTGGAATCCTTGGTCTTTCTCTTGCCTTCGCCGTAGCCCTTCACCTCTGTCAGCAGTTCCTGAGTTTTTTCCAGTTTCAGTGCAACCAGTTCTTGTATCCGGGACAGCTGCTCTGGTTCTGCTGAGGCAAACTGAGCCTCCAGCCCCCTCCTCAGCACCGCCCGGTGCGTGGAAGAGTCCCGTCGAGACAGAATTTCTTCCATGGAGGCACATTTATTCTTTTCTGAGTGTGAGAGCTTTTTGGGGACCTGTGGTGTGTACATGGTCCCTTTGTCAAAGGAGTCATTGCGCTGCCCAGATCTGTCCCATGAGGTCACCTCCCGTCTCGGGAGGCTCCCCGTCCGGCCCTTCTCTGACGACTTGACGTTCTCCGAATCTGACCGACGCCGTCCAGCAGTAAGATGTGCCACTGACTTATCCAGATCCACCCGGAAACTCTCTTCGCAGGTGCTGTGATCCTCTGGAGAGGCGTCTTCCTCCTGGATCAGGTCAAGTGTCAGCATGCCATCAGAGGTTGAGGTAGATGCCTGAAGAAGCAGACAAAGAGCTGTGTCATCACAGGAACAGGCACGGCTGCACACTACTTCTGAGTGTCTGTTCTAACCCACGGCTGAGTTCCCCAGCTGTATGACTGCTCTCCGTCAGGAACCTGAAGGAGCATTTCATTTTCAGCATCAGGAAAGCGGGTGTGAGTGATGGCAAGCTACCATTTTGCAAAAGGGGTTTGCATAATGCAAGGATCTATGAGAACGGAGGACTAGATCTGATGACCCAGTACAGCCTGGGGTCTTATGACAATTTTCAGTTCAGGCCAGAGCCCAAACACCAGGTCTTCTTTCGTTTGCTTATACATTAAATAGTTACCAGGGAATTTCACCTAAGTGGGTCTCTGGAATTTGTTATACGTACCACAGCCATCAGATGTCCCCGTGTTGGAGGGCGTCGGGAGTGCTGTATTTTTGCTCTGTCACGTGTTGGGTGGGCGAGGTAGCTGTCCTCTTCCACAGTAACCTAAAGTGGTGACAAAGGCTAGTGAACGTCTGGGAGCACTGGAAATGTGAGCCATTCCTAGTTTCTGTAGCTGTAATCAGCCAGATGCACCATGGCAGATCATTTATTCCTCCATGATTCCCTTTCTCTTGCTGAGGGTGAACTTCTCCCACGTACCTCTGGGCCAGGATCTTTCGCTAACGGCTGTCAGGCAGGAAAAAGCTTGGGTTGCAAACAGTGAATCCTGAACTCGGATACAGAGTTTGCAGTTCTGTAGTGCAAATGTTTGCTGGCCAGGAGGAGAGCTGTGCTCGCCACCAGAACCAAACCTGAGCTGGAATGAGGAAGGCAATGCATCCCCAACGTGCTGAGCTCCTCTGGCTGCCGAGCTGTGCCAGGGTTGCGTGTGGGAGCACAGCCTGACCACCTCGTGTTACGGGAAGGCTGCAGTCTGTAACACCCTCCCTAGCGAGTGTGCCCAGGCACAGATCAACCGATAACTTCGTAACACCTGCCTGCGCATTGTCAACAACATACCGGTCCTAAGGCCCGTCCCTGGTCCAAGACCTGTAGGTGGGACTCACTGATCTGTGTGCTTACAAGGATGCACAGAAGGAGATTTGCAGGTAGGGCCAGCAGGGAGTGGGGTGTGGGAATCCAGCCTTCGAAGAGTCTTAGAGTGTTACCCTAGTCTGTGCCTTGATGGGATCAGATCTACTTAAGCCATTCCTGACAATTATCTGCGAATCTGTTTGTAAAGATTTCAGTGACAGACTCTCCTTGAAGCAATCTATACCATTGTTTGCTATGCTGCTTTCTGCTCTGCAGCTTCTCCTACGGTCTGACCTTCATTTTCCTTCACTACAGGGTTTTGCATTGCCATCCATGAGAACAAACAGCATCACAGCAGTGGGCCGCCTGTATTGCAGTAAGTCGAATGTGGATGAGAGAGATCTGAGACAGATCTAAACTGAAGAATAGTTGTCATGAAGCGTTAATGGGAGACAACGTTGAAATGCTTTTTCAAACTGCAGCCCTGGTAGCGAGGGGCACAGCCTTCTCAAGGTAGTTATCATTCACACTGGAAGAAACTATGTGGGAATGCTCATACTGCTCTAAACCTGGCCTCTGTCAGCTCAGCTGTGGCTGTAAGCCTACACTTTGTCTCCAGGAGGAGCCTGAACTGATGTTGCTTTGTTCTTTTCTTTCTAATAGAAGCTGCTTTGCATAATTGTGGTAGTTACTTTGGGAGTTTCATGCAGGAGTAATGCTGCCACTTTGGAAGCGGTAGGAGCTACACTAGTCACACTTTGTGTGGATGTGTTCTCACCTTGGCTCTACTGTTCCAAGGTCCTCCTATTGCTGTCCCACAGTGCACTGATGCCTCATCTCTCTAGTTGTCCCCTCTTTTTTCACTAAGTGGAGAACCTGACTTTTGACAAATATATATGCCGCACAGTGCTGAGAAGGCAGGATTAAACATTCCTGGTTTGACCCTTCAACAGTAGGAAAGGATCTGCAGAGTTTAAATGCCCCGTAAGTCCCCGTCCAAAGGAGTGAGAATGGGCCTGTCCCTTGGAGATGGCAATTGAGAGAGGAGGGGTCAGCAGGAGGAAGATGCACTGAGGGGGGTTGACAGATGGTGCTGTGCTATTAGGGTGCTCTGAAGATAGCGTGGGACTATATTGGTTTTTCAGTTAATTCCTTAATTCAGTTCCACTAGTTAAAGCTCCTTTGCAAACAAGAGCGCACTGCATGCTTACCCAGCAGCAGCGAGGAAAAACTCTCCGAAGCCTTGGGAAAGCATTCCAAACAATCCCACCATCCCTGTGCGAGGCAAAGCTGGGCTCCAAACTGAAGGCATCTCCCTGGGGCCGGGTGTGCCAGGGAGGGGACAGGGCCTTGGCAGCTGCCCCTTGCCATTGCTTTGCAATCAGTGCTGCATATTAATCCCGAGGCTGGGAGGATCAAATTATCCCAAACCTTCGTAAAAGCCCACTCCATAGGTGGTGGTGGTTGTGTTTGAGTGCAGTCCTTAAAACCCCAATGGCTTTGTACTCGTTTTAAATAGGAAATGGAGAGGGTAGGAGGGGCCTGCTGCTGTGTCCAGCAGTCCAAAATCTTCACCCAAGATTAAAGTTGAGACAGCAGAGCCTGGGTCCGGCCCTCAGAGTCCTGCTCACCTCATCTAAGATGCGGTTTTTAGCACGTGTGATTGCAGAGTTGAGGGCATTAATCCAGGACTCCTTCTCTTCTGGACTCACAGCCAGGAAGATCAGATTTGGTGCCTACAAAAGAGGGAATTCAGGTCAGTGCCAGTGACTAAACTCATACAGAGATGCTTTCACACTGTCCCTGCCCACAGAAAAGCTACACAGCCTTTACAGTTGGCTTGCCTTCGCAGGAAAATGCAAAGCAGACCTGATCCTCCAGCCCTGCAAAACGGCACTGGTCTGCCACACACTGCACCTGGCCTCTCTGCTTCTTGGCAGCCCTTTGCAAAGTAGACCATGATTCCTCACAGTACCCAGCTTTTCAACCCAAAAGCTGTGTACCATATTTACTTCCCTCGTGGCTGCAGTTCCTCCTTCCCCCTCTTTGCCTTCCCACACACCATCCTAGATTTTGCCCTCATCAAATGATGATGCAGCCTTTCTGTGCATCTGCTGCTCACATGCGATTTATCTGTTGCCACCTCAGACTTTGACAGAGTCTAGTAGACAAGCAGCTACAGTAGGTAACCACAGAAGGAGCTGGATTTTCCACGCTATGTCAGATGCACACTGAGGGCACAGCAGTTCTGAAAATATGGCCTGTATAGGAGATCCAGGATCCTTCAGGGTTTTTTTAAAGCTAGATACTCGGTAAAAATGAGTTTTAGCCTCCACAGCGTTTTGTTCAATTCTCTCCGTTGCTCAGGGCGCTTGGGGACAGCGCAGCCGCTTTCCATTTTCCCCTTTTTTTCCCTTTTCGCATTTCATGGCATTACACAATCCTTATCAAAGTGTGGGGCGGGCAAGCTTGGTCTACTGAAACGAGTCAGAATGAATAGTGTAAATCCAGCTCACGTGTGTGGCTGTGGGTGGGTGCATCTGTGGCAGAGACAGCTCACAGTCAGCGACTGGCTCTCTTTTGGCAGTGGCAACTGAGACCTCATAGAAAGTCCTGCTTCTAGGTAGCAGTGCCCCCATTCCAGCAGTTTTTAACTTTTATCCAGGCAGAAAGTACTTCCAGGACAAATTCCCTTGCAGCTCTTTTGATGCTGCCCAAATCAGCTAAACCACAGCTGCCAGGAGTGGCAGCAGTAAAACGGCTTTGTCCTTGCTCCTGGCAAATGTTCTGATACCTTCCGTTCCCAAAGTCTGAATACTCTCAGGTGAACGGATCCAGAGCTAAGTGCTTGGTCATATTTACTTAGTACACCAGAGGCTCGAGTCCTCTCCCAGCAGAAACCCTGCTTCTCTCTCCATCTCCCACTGTTGCTATCGGTTCTGACGATAATTTTTAAATCACAAGACACAATCTGGACTCCTACACAACTCAGGCTATCGAGTTTCACTCCCTGATTTCTGTATCAAACCCTCAGGCTTGAAGCAGGTAACGGAGAGGCAGCCCAGCCTGCCCCAAGAGCTAATGGCTTTCTCGGGCTGACCGCATGCTTGAGACAAAACGTACCGTGTTTCCAGGCTGTCTGGAGTGGGCGAGGGTAAATTTGCTGTGGTTCTTTTTGCTTCTGCTTTTGGACTTCCTGAGCTCTTCACATTTCTCATAATCACTCAGGTCAAACATTTCCTGTATATTTTTTTCATCTTTTACCTGCAAAACCAAAAATAAAATTACAGCCTTGCAGATGTCAGATGGAGAGGCAGTAAGAGGGCTCTGATCCAAACCAGCAGGGTGCCCGGCTGGAGCTGCTGTCTGCACAGGAGCTTTGAATGTACAGAATGGGTGCTGGAGCCTCTGCTGTGGTGTGTGGTTGCTGAAACATTGTGCAAGAGTTTTCCACCTTAAGGCACAAATGCAGTAATAGCCCTGTTAGCTGGGGAGTGCTACACTTGGGTTTGGGGAGGAAAAGCAGAGATTTTCAACATGATAGTTTTGACTCGAGTCTCTTCTGGAAGGAGGGGGACATATTTAGAAGGATAACTTGAAAATCATGGTCTCCTAGGTTGATTCAAGCTTTGCTATGGATTTCTTCAGGACTTAATTGCCTCCCCTCTCCCAAAGTCACTGGGGCTAGGCTGAACTGAGATGCAGGTGTGATCAGACACAGTGTGTATGCTTGTGGACCCTCTTCTTCCAGCAGCAAGAAGACGACCCTGTCTGCTAGGAGGAGGTTTGTGCGGAGGCAGGAGATGCTGAGAGGAGGTGGACTTTCATCTGCTGATGAAAAGGGGCAATCATATTAGCGCTTGTTGCTTTTCTGGAGACAGCATAACAAAAGTTTGAGGGATAAAGATTAGCACTTCCTATTTTTAACCTGGTGGTATTACCGAAGCCTGTGCTGGCAGCTGATTTGGGGGGTGGATGAAGCACATCCAGTCCCAGATTACTGACACGCCGCATGTGCTGCTCTCCCCCGCTGCCGAGCCTCATCCCTTGTGAGGGGCTACAGGCAGAATTTATCCAGGCACTGCCCAGGTTTTGTTCCAGCAGCTCCTTGCCAGGCTTTATCTGCTGGGTGGCTGGCCAGGCCCCCAGGGACCTTCGGCAGCCCGGGGATTCATGGAAGGTTCCCAGAAGGAAGACAGTGCTAGGGCTTGGCTTTCACTGACGGAAACACTTCTTGGCTGTCTTTTAGAGAGCCATGGAGTGCCGTCACTCCGGGGACACTTGGAGCAAAGAAGAGAATGCACAACCTGTCTTCTGCCTGGTCCCCTTTGGTTTTGTATGGCCTTCCTTTTCATGGCTGGTTTTAATGCACTATCCTCACATCCCACTCCTACAGCGGGGCAGCTCTACTCTTTCCATGGTAAACATGAGGAATGTAGGTAACTGGGATGGGAGAGAACTTGGTTTTGCATGTTCGCTAAGGACAGAACTGTGGCAGGCTCAAATCCCTGTTAATCTGCTTAACCCGACTCCAGCCGGGGTCATTACAGGCTGGGATCTGCGGTGGAGGTTGGAGTAACTCGGGTGCCGGAAAGGCAGACGGTGATCAGGTCTTAGCTCTTGGATTTCTTGAAAGGACTCCACCCCATTCAGTATGTTTCCTCCCTAGTTTTGGGAAGCACTGAAGGAATTCCCCATGATTTTTTCATTAGAGTTTAAACAAAGAGGCCGACTAAAATGCTGTAACCACCTTTCCAACCAGACACACAGATAAACTGACCATCTGGCCTTGCACGAGGACTGCAGTTCCCCTTCTTCCCTTTTCCCTTCTATCCCCTGAGCTCGTCGTCAAGAACTAGGAGGCAGACACCGTACACAGCTATTCTTGAAGCCCCAGAAGCTATTGCTTATTTCTGCTCATAACAACAGCCACCGCCTATGGGCTATTATGAACAGATACGGAACTGTCTCTCGCAGATAATGTCTATCTATGTATCCTCCCCGTGCATTTCTAATCAGCTGTTATCTCTTCCCAGCACCATCCTACAATCCACCTCTTTCCAAGAATCTCAGCTGAATCCAGCCCTATTCATGTGCAGCAGGAAAAGCCGATCCCCTCTGAGCCCCCAGCTGTGAGACAGCGGCTGAGGCAGGAGCCCTTACTCCAGATGTTTGCTCATGTAGGTCACTGGGACTTCCCCAGCCCTTCCCTCCTTTCTCAGACATGCAGAGCCTGCGCTGTGAACTCATAGGAGCCAGGACTGAAATATCTTGCCTCTAGGACTATCTATAGGAGGCTGCAGAAAGGACGGGTGGAATTGGTTCAGATAAAGACCCTTGGGGTGTAGCTAGTCCTTTAGAAGACTTGGAGTGACAAGCCCTTCAGCCAGAGCTGCAGGCAGGGAGGAAAGGCAGGTTTGTGCTCACTTTGAATTGATTCCCTCTTGTACGTAGCCTTGGTAGTATAATGAGGCCATAAAGTGAACGGGGCTGTAATTTAATCATTTGAACGTGGCTTTGTTCTGCCTTGGTGATGGGAAGAGGTCTTGGCATCAGCCTGAAACAGGCTTGATTGCGGCGACGCGGTGGCAGTGATTTCACGGGGCATGAGGACAGCAGTCTTGTCTCACAAAGGGCATTGCCAACCGACATCCCCCCTCTCCCGCACCGAGACATGCAGGCAGAGGAGTGAGCAGCAGAGCAAAATAACAGAGCATTCAGTGTGTACACAGTGAAACTAGAGAGAAGGAAGGTGAAAAGCAAACTTCAAAAGTACTAGCCAGCTCTTTTGTCCTTTATGGGAGGCTACCAAGGCCAAAAAGAGGGAGGTGGTGGGCATGAATTACAGAAGAGAGCTCAGAGCAGGAGGGGATGAGTGCACAGAGGCTGAGCATAGTCATGCAGCCCATCCTCTGTAAAACAAACAAACAAACAAAAAACCAACAGAAAAAAGCAACCCCTAAAGACCCACAAAGCTGCTGAACTACATGGTCAGAGAAACCTAAATCCTGGTCACCTACATCACTAAGAGATGGGTGACAAACCTGCAGCGTGTCTACCCTCCTCCACATTTTCAGTGAGATTGCAGCCATGCAAATAAAACCCTTCAGGTTTCACCAGCAGAGAATTTGGCTCGATATGTTCCCAGGGCCATACAGGTCTTTGGATAATGTTTTGGACACCTTTGGGAGGAAGTAGCCTGAGGTGTCAGTTCTTAGCAGGAGGGAATGAAGCACGATTTCTCTGTCACCCGGTGTGGTTTGTAAATAGAACGGCATGGTCAGCATAGCAGCATCGATCTTCATTTATTTCAGGGTGACCTACTACAGCTCGTCATGCACCCAGGGTGCTCTGTGTCCGAGGAGTTCATCCTAGTGACGGAGATTTACTATGACCATTGCGTTTGCTTGTTTGTTTTCTCTGCTGAACATAGATTGAACACAGATTTTTTAAAAGTGAGGGGTGATTTTTAGTCTCAGATGCCAAACTTGAAACTCTTTAAGAAAAGATCTGAGTTCTGGGAAAGGCTGAACATCTCCTCTAATGCAGAGTCTTCAGTCTGGTTTCCCATCCCTAGAGTTTCTTGCTCTCTAACTTGCAGGGAAGATGGCTTAAACAAACTCTCCAGGGCCTGACAGTTTCTCTTTCCTACAGCACCTTTTAGGGAGTCTAGAAAAAGCTTCCTTGTCTGGGGCAGCATATCCAGGCTCACACACCTGCCCGAGAAGCAGCGGGGGCTCTGCAGATGTGGGTATTTTTTGGATCCTGCTGCTTTCACCAGCCTTTCTCAAGATCTCCCACGCTGTAGCTCAAGGCTGGGAGGAATCAGGGACCGCTCGGCTTAATGTGCTAGGAAGGGAGAGGCCTGGATGGTTGATTTTGGCAAAATCATTCCTAGCTGGGAGGTGGCCAGCAGGTCTTTCCTTCCTCACAGCTGCTGACTGCCTGGCGTGCAGCGAGCTGACGGATCTCAGAGCCTCGTGGGCAGGTAGGTCCTGCGCTCCTTGCCCTGCAGGGAAGCTCTGGATTGAAAGGATTAAGGTAAATAAATCCCAGCAATTGCTGCCATGGCTGTCTGCTGGCTTTGATCTCCATATTGCAGCCACCCTTCGCAGACAAAACAATTTCTCATCCTGAGGTTCAACCTGGCTCCTCCTCATGCTCCCAGAAATACCTCCACACTCCAAGTAGGCCAGGCGAGGGAAGGGAAACTGAGGCACAGAAAAGGACCCCAAGGGGTCCCCCATCACCTAAGACAAAGCAGGGTATGTTAGACCCTGGAGCCATTAGAGCAGACAGTCCCCGCACCCCCAGCCCGCTGCTGGGGGCGTAGCTCCCCTCCAGCCACACCGCCACCGGCAGCGAGATGTGCTGAGGCCGACATTGCTGGCGCATTGCTAAAGTTCAAGGAAGGGAGCTGCATTCCTCACACGCCTCACCCCCGCAGCTGCTGCCCCAGCAGGGTCAGACCGAAGGGACGCCAGCCACGACGGCACTCCCTGTGCCTGTGGGACGCGGCGTGGGTCAGAACATCGGCCGTGGTACCCAAAGTACCTTCTCCCAAAGCCTTGTAGGGCTTATTTCTAGCCTGGCAGCTAGTCGTGCTTCTGTTTTCTCCTGAGCCAATGTGCCTTCACAGCATTCTGGCAACAGGAGGATCCCTGATGTGGTTTAAATTAGCTGCCCCTTGGATGGCTTGCTGACAGAGAGTTAAAATTTCCTCCCTCATCAAGTTGTCACCTGCAACAACTCGAGATCTCCTTGGTACAGATCAGGACTGTGTTCTGGGGCCAAACCAGGAGCGAAGCAGAAGGGCAGTCATTCAGTCACCCGACAAAGTTCTGCGGCTTTCCTCAGATTTTTTTGGTGGAGATTTGCCTGAGCAGTTCCCTGTTGAGATGTGACATGCTCAAAGCAAATGGGGAAGGTACAGAAAATCACAAGACACCAAGTGTAACGTATCCACGAGACATTCAAGGGGTCATAATGTGGCTCAGGGTGTAACAAGAAACCTCCAGATTGTCAGTAAAGCTGAATATCGAAACATAGGCAGTCTTGGGGACAGCATCGGCAGCATGTTCCCCTCTCAAGCTGAGAGGAAAGTTTCACTTCCTCAAGCTGAACACTTCTACCATCTAGCAAGGGACAGAAATTTCTGCAAAGCTTAGCTAAAATCAGGCTGTTTGTTGAGACGGGAATCCACGCGTGTGTGCAACGCTGGCCCTGGCAGTACCGGCAAGCAGCACCGGTGAGGGGACTGGCAG